GGTAAATGATCAAGAGGAGGGGTCCGAGGACAGAGCCTTGGGGGACACCCGTGGAGACGGGGGAAGACTGGGAACGAAAGGATTTAAGCTGAATGAATTGAGTGCGGTCAGAGAGATATGATTTGAACCAGTCTAACGGAGTACCTGAGATGCCAATGGAATCTATTGAGGAGAATAGAATGACAGATTGTGTCAAAGGCAGAACTTAGATCCAGTAGAATGAGGATAGACAGAAGAGCAGAGTCAGCAGCAAGAAGAAGGTCATTAGTTATTTTTATTAGAGCTGTTTCGGTGCTATGGTGGGGGCGAAAACCAGATTGAAACTCTTCATAAATGTTATTGTTGGATAGGTGAGAGTGAAGTTGACTAGCAACGACTTATTAGTACTAATAAACGACTATTAGTACTAATAAACGACTATTAGTACATTTTAATAATGCCATATTACGTCAACTACTGCTGCTCTGTGAGAAATGTCTAGTGAATATTTTTTGGGAGTCCAGTTGCTTTAGATTAGTTCTTCAGGTGATAACAAAGACCTCACAGACATAAAGCACAAGGTAAAGTAGAGGACTGATGTGATACAAGTGTGTGAACTCAACCACAACTCAATGTTCAGCTAACTGAATGGCCAATCTAGAAATAATAAGCATATAAAACATAAAATTAAATAAATGGAAAAATAAAAGATTTGGCGTTACAAATAAATGTTAACGTGTTTTCTCAATACTCCAAAATACGTGCATGACAAAAAATAAATTAAAAGGGAAACACAAATTGTAAATTTCCTTTCACTTGAAAAAAAAGAAAGATACCCCAATAAAGTTCGATTACACGTGAACTTCTTCTTCTTTTGTCTTTTCCCTCTTCAGGGGTCTCCGCAGCAAGTCATCCTCCTCCATCTCTGTCCTCTGCATCCTCTGTCCTCGCTCCAACTACCTCCATGTCCTCTCTAACTGCATTCAGATACACTACATTGCCAAAAGTATTCACTCGCCTGCTTTGACTCGCATACGAGCTTAAGAGACATCCCATTCCTAATCCACAGGGTTGAAATTGATGTTGGTCCACCCTTTGCAGCTAGAACAGCTTCAACTCTTCTGGGAGGCTGCCCACAAGGTTTAGGAGAGTGCTTATGAGGATTTTTGACCATTCTTCCAGAAGCGCATTTGTGAGGTCACATACTGATGTTGGACGAGAAGGCCTGGCTCTCAGTCTCTGCTCTAACTCATCCCAAAGGTGTTCTGTTGGGTTGAGGTCAGGACTCTGTGCAGGCCAGTCAAGTTCATCCACACCAGACTCTGCATCCTTGTCTTTATGGACCTTGCTTTGTGCACTGGTGCACAGTCATGTTGGAAGAGGAAGGGGCAGCTCCAAACTGTTCCCACAAAGTTGGGAACATGGAATTGTCCAAAATGTCTTGGTATGCTGAAGCAGTCAGAGTTCCTTTCAGTGGAACTAAGGGGCCAAGCCCAGCTCCTGAAAAACAACCCCACACCTTAATGCCCCTCCAACAAACTTTACACATGGCACCATGCAGTCAGACAAGTACCGTTCTTCTGGCAACCGCCAAGCCCAGACTCGTCCATCAGATTGCCAGATGGAGAAGCGCGATTTGTCACTCCAGAGAACGCGCCTCTACTGCTCTAGAGTCCAGTGGCGGCGTGTTTTACACCACTGCATCCGACGCTTTGCATTGTACTTGGTGATGTACGGCTTGGATGTAGCTTCTAACCATGGAAACCCATTTCATGAAGCTCTCTGTGCACTGTTCTTGAGCTAATCTGAAGGCCACATGAAGTTTGGAGGTCTGTAGTGATTGACTCTGCAGAAAGTTGGCGACCTCTTCGCACTATGCGCTTCAGCATCCACTGACCCCGCTCCGTCAGTTTACGTGGCCTACCACTTTGTGACTGAGTTACTGTCATTCCCAAACACTTCCATTTTCTTATAACACAGCTGACAGTCGACTGTAGATTATTTAGGAGCGAGGAAGTTTCACCACTGGATTTGCTGCAGAGGTGGCATCCTATCAGTTCCACGCTGGAATTCACTGAGCTCCCGAGAGCGACCCATTCTTTCACAGATTTTTTTTTTTTTTCATTTAGCCTTTATTTATCCAGGTTAGTCTCATTGAGCCCCGAGAACTCATTTTCAAGAGAGACCTGTTTAGGTAAAAACAGTCTGCATGCCGAGGTGCTTCATTTTATACACCTGTGGCCATGAGAGTGACTGGAACACCTGATTCAGATAATTTGGATGGGTGAGCAATTACTTTTGGCAATGTAGTCATGGTTTTGAGTTCAACTTTGTTGCATAAAATAATACAAAAATGAAATAACCTTAAAAAGGATGATATATGTAAAAGTTTGAACATCTGTATTAAAAGTCTGTTAACAGAAAAAACAATAAAAGTGAAAAATAATGTCCGGGTGGATGGGTTGAGTTGGCAGCAGACTGGAAGAAAACGGTTGAAAAAGAGAACGTCCAAAAACTGGCAGGTCGTCAAATTTGAGCCGATGATTTGACATGAAAACAACTGGAAAGGCAGTTTTGATACAGCGCACTGAACAAGCAACAATGAAACCCGACTGCTATAAATACTGAACAAAAAGAATCAAAGTTTTGAAATGTTTGAAGAATAATGTGAACATATCAGAAGGATCTGAATGATTCAAAACAAACAAAAATAAAAACAAAATAATTTATTGGACCAAATAATGCCCAAAAAAAAGATCAGATTGACATAAAAATTCTGAGTGGTTTTGGACCGCAGTCAGAAATAAAAGTAAACTACGACCACCCCGCCCCCACTGTCTAACTGATATTAGGATGCCGTCTGCACGTATGTGTCATCTGGATAATGGAAGCTGAATTTTACATCCATACCTGTTTTGGTGTTTTTTACTTATTAAAATTCCACTCAGACTGATTAGATCTAATCATGCAAATGAAGTGGGCACGACTGGCAACAGTCCATCAAACGCTGCAGCTTCGATTTGACCATCTAGTTTTGTGTGTTTGGACACGTGTGTGTGCACAGAGTGGAGCAGAAACAAAAAACTTCTGTCATCAATGGAGTCAGTTAATCTCTGATCACAGTGTGATTGCACAGTGTTGTTTGTTTTAATACTTCAACTGAGTCAAAAGTATCTTAAGTTCATTTGAGGCTCCACAAACATTTAGTCAAAGTAAAAGATTTCAGAAAATCATTTGTTTTGAAGCGAGAGTGAATATCAGATTATCAGCAGCAGTGACCTGTCCAGATAGAATTAGCTACAATGAAGAAAAAAACAATCTTAAAATATATATATATATATATTATCACTCACGTTGCCTATGAGTGGGGGTTTGTGTGTGTTTGTGCATCAGTCTGTTACCAAATTATCTCATGAACCACTGGAATAATTGTAGTGAAATTTGCAGAAGGTAATCGGATGTACATCTTCAACTAATTAACATTTGGAGCCCTGTTCAAAATCAAACTTTAAAAACAAATAAATAGCTGTATCTCAGTCAGTTGTTAGAATATTTGGTTCAGATTTATTATGGAAGTAGCTGAGGCTGGTCCCCATCACATGTTCTGACCGTTAATGGCTTGCACAAGATCCAAGTTTAATATTTTGCTGTGAACTATTTGGCATCAACTGAATGTCTTTGCAAAATATCTCAATAACACTGAATGGGTTTGAGTGAAATTATCATTAAATATTCACTGATTGTAACTCAACTGCTGATTAGCCTTTGACGTCGAGCTTTTCAAGATGGCACCTTCAGCCAGTTGGCTTTAGGAAATACACAGCGAGCTGTAATTTAGTAAAATTTGCAGATATTGTGGTAAACTTTGTCTTAAATCAGTCAAATGATTTATTCCAAGTGCTCCTTCTAACACGATCTTTGCTTTATATTAAGTGTTGTAGTCAACGCTGTTTGGCTGTTAGCAAAATATAATTTCTCCATTTTTCATCATTTTAGTGATTTTGCATTATTTAACTCTTCTCATTTGCCTGTGGTTTCATGAATGAGCCTACGTTTGACCACACAGTCAATTCAGTAGTTTCTCTCATTTCTTTGAACGTCTCTGTTTAACCGTGACTCAGTGAATCGTGTATTTGTGATGGCAAATAACTGCATTTGTTTGTCTATTTATGACAAAATCTGATACATATCTAAAGAAAATAATAAAAAAAAAATATGACAAAGGTGAGGAAAAAATGTATAGATTATCTTTTACTACTGAACTCTTTACATTGCTTTTGTGACAAGTGACACAATAATTAAATGCTTTGCAAACTAAAACCAGGTGTGAAAGAAATAATAAATAAAAAAATCTGTAAAATCAATCAAGTTGATCCCAACAGAACCACAATCAATCCAAGACATAAATCAAGAGGATACCCAAAATCAGAACTAAATGTATAAAACACACACAACAAATATAATTAAAAAATATTCCGTGAGCAGAAACGTTGAGAAATAGAAATCGACTGGGCAGAGAAAAGAATGTGACAGTTACCGGCTCATTTTTGCCAACATTGTTTTGCTTTTCTGATTTTTGCATTTTGAATTACAACAACTGAATGAATGTCCTGTTGGAGACGCTGTACGTGATTGAAAGAACAAGAAATGAAAGTGGAAGCCTCTGGAAAATGAATCATCTGTCAAGACTGGAACGACGTTTGTAAGGGATTTTGGAGATGGAGACGTGAAAACGGAGGCTGGTAATTGCGCTTCTGGCCTCTCAGTATTATGTCTTCATGACGTTTACGTGTCTTCCGTTGATACATGGAGAGAACATGAACAAGAAGATGCCTTTTCTCTTTTTCTCTTGCTGATAAAAGATGCCAGATGACAAGGATGAATGGAGAGAGGAAGGAAAGAAGGAGGTGTTCTTGAGTTTATGACTTTCCTCCAACATGTGTCACTTTGTGAAACATTCAAAATGTTTATCAATGAATCTAAATGTTAAACCCCAGGAGACTCAGCAGGAGGAGGGATGCATGAAACGCACTAATGCCCTCGTCTCTCTGTGTCTCTCTGTCTTTGTCTCCTCCTCAGGCTCGGTGTCTCTCAGTGTTTTCCTGCTGTCTGTCGCGTTCGTAGTCTGTGCCGTTTGGCTCGTAGCTCTGTGTGGCGTCTGCACCTGGTGTCAGCGTAGACTGGTAAGTGACAGGATTCATAACTTCAGCATGCATAGCTCAAAACAAGCAGTAATTCAGATCATTTGAAGGGGAAGAGACTGAACAGTTAATATCTTACCTGTTGTAGATATATTAGTACAGCTTCAGTTTGTAGACATAAAGTTTAATCCTGACAAGAACTATTGGGAAGTTCTTGTGGGATCCTTGATGGGCCTAAAACAACAGCTGTTCCACAAACTGGACCAGTTTTTACCCTTTACATTGAATCATTCTCAATCACTGTTTGTTGTTGTTGTTGTTTTCAAAGTTGAAGGTCAATTTTACTTCTAGTGCTCATTTCCTCCAACAGACTCCTTGCTGTTTTAAATAACTGTATAGACACAACAATAAAATACAATTAGGATGAAAAGCACCAGAATAATGATGAGTACAAACAGTGGAAAGTGAATTTCCTACAGATGCAGGGTGACTGCTGAATGGTTTTGTGGAAAGCTGCTTAAAAAGCTTGAAATTCATGTCCAGCTGAGAAGTTTGACATTTCTTTGTTAAATAGTTATCAAATTAGAGCAATATATAAAAATGGGCTGATCTTTGACCCTGACCTTTAACCCTATGACCCTAAAATCAATCAGCATCATTGTTGACCCATGAGGGGACTAGATGTCAAGTTTGACATTTTTATGTTACACGGTTGGAGAGCTAGATGGAGCTTGAATAAAATGTCCTCTGACTGCTGGACAGCGTGCTGTCTTTGGCGGCCATATTTAATTTATGTTCATCCTTCAGCGTGTGTTCAGGATCACTCTCGGCTACTACCACACCAAATCTTAGCCTAAATGATCTAAAAATGAATGAGTTGAAGCTGAAAGAACCACGATGACATCAGTGGAACAGTAGATGAAAATAAAACAAACCAAAAAGCTCAAATTAGCAGAAAGAAGCTAAAAGGAGCCAAAAACAGCTGAAATAAGCACAGAAGTAGCAAAAAACAAACAAAACTGAAGAAAACGCAAAAACGTTTTATTGAACTAAACACAGAAAATGTCAAAATGATCACATTAAAGGTTAAATTAGAAGAGAGAAAGCTAAACTAGCAGGAAAACTGCTGAGCCGCAGCTGAAGGGGAAGAAAAATGCTAAAATCAACAGAAAGAAGCTGAAGGGATCCTACAAATCTGAAATGAGCAGAATGAGGTTGAAAAACAGCAGAGCATCAAAAATCAAACCGTTCTGGAACAGTGACGTAGATACGGCCAAAAATAGCTGAATAAATCTCAAACAGCTAAACAGAAGCTGTAAAAGGCCGAATGATCCTGTAAGGAGCCGAACATGAGCTCAACACAAACAGTTGGACATTTAGATTTGTCTCCCTGCTGCACACATTCTGTTACTATGGAAACGCAGCAGGACGGGACAGAAACACCAAAACTTTAAAAAACTTAAACTGATTTTACAAAAGTGGTTCAGAGATCAAAAGTCTGAATCATTCGGTGAAGCTGAACGTCTTGTTTGCAGAAGTAGTGACAGTTTAAAAAGATGCTGAAGGATTTCACAGAACCTCAGTTCATTTCACTGAGAAAAGTTTAGCTGATAAAGCTAAATGTTTTAAAAAATTAAAAGATATCAGAAGTCATAGGAGGAGCGTCCTGAACGAGCTGAACGTTTACATAAATTACTGAAATAGCTTAAAAGCTGTTAAATGCCGAAAATGAGCAGAAGACACTTGGAAAAATGAAGAGAAACGAGGAAACGATGACACAATAGACATACAATAAATATATAATGAGCAAAAATGAGAAAAGTTCAAAGGTCTGAGCAACGTCTACGGAGAAGCTTCTTATTATTTTGGGTCAGCGACAGAAACCGTCACCGTGGGTTCATCATTTGAACGTCAGAAAGTTGAACAGGAGCGGAGATGTCGGCCTCGTTGCACTGACTGGAGCATGATGACACACAAACACGTACTCAGGCTGGAATACTTAATCGTTCTCAAACAAGTCATATCATTTTAAACTTGGTCCCCCAGTTAACAAGAATTCAGTGGAGAAGCCAAAACTGGGTTAATGTGGTTTCCCCGCCTGTTACCAGTCAACAAGTAACCGTGCGTAAGCAACACAGGGATGACTAACTTAACTCATAATAACCTATTTAACCCGTTTCTGTGGTTATTTGCGAGTGGGAATTGAGGCAGCAGCTAGCTGTAGCACTTCTGGTGGAGCTGGGGGGTACGTCCCGCAGAAATATAATATAACAGTCATGGGTGAGTGGTGGCACCGAGGTTAGAGAAGGTGAGTCTGTGATCAGAAAGTTTCCAGTTTGAATCTCTGGACCAACAAAAAGGTGGTGGAAAAGGTGAAGCGCCCACACCAGCCTCCGCCCTCATTTGCTCAAGGGCCCAGGGCTGCCATTTAAGCCTCCCCGGGCGCCACACAGAGGGCTGCGGTAGCTCGGTGGTCTGTGGTGGCATCAGGACAGGCATCCGGCGTAAAAACAACGATCAAGTCATCGTCTTAGTTCACTCTATGGCGACCCCTGAAGAAGAAAGAAGCCAAAAGATTTAGACGAAGAACAAATAACATTTGATGCGACACGAGGTGGTGTCACTTTGTAAAATCGTGTTCACACTACAACTTTTTTGTGACTGGAGCTGTTTGGTTTTTTTTTCTTGTCCTTTTTAATTTGTGCTTCACATATTGAATAAACATTCCCACTTTCAGTTTGAGTCCATTCTTGTTTTTGTCACAGTCAAATTATGCCCAAGTTAAGTTTGTACAAAGGTGATTAATCCTAACAGTGAACATTACATCATTGTTTAATGTTGGTGGATGGTGACGTTCCTGCCCAGTGCAGTTCATGTGATGAGGCTCACGTCAGACCACAATAACTGTTTTACCAACCGTGATCTATAGCAGCAAGCAACCATCCACCCATCCACCCATCCATCCATCCATCCATCCATCCATCCATCCATCCATCCATCCATCCATCCATCCATCCATCCA